GATCTTCACTCTTGTGACTTAGTTTTGTTATTGGACAGTAAAATCTCTAGAATGTGATTCATATAACAGGAAATGCAACCTTGTGGTTCTAGCCTTGAGAGGAGTTGTGCTTGTGAATATGATTAACTTTGTCCTACTGCAAAGAATTGACAACTTCCATGGCTGTTGATGCAACATTAGACATTTGAGGCAACGAACAGTGCTCATGGTGACTGCCAGCCAGATGATTGCAGAGGAGGAATCTGCTTTCAAGAACTCCATTGCCACTAGACGAGAAGGAAGTTAGGATGGTGAATGCAAGACAAAATGGTGTCTTTAATTGATGGTACCTGTGTTTGATGTTCATCTTTGGTTCATCATTGTCACTCATCTGGTGCTGTAAGTACAATCACTGCACAAATAATTTATTTGTGCATGATTGGCTGTGAATGTGTACATAATTTGTACATATGTTCTTATTTACAAGAAAATAAATGTGGAAATTCAAGATATTCTTTCATTTCATCCTACTTTCATGTTTAGAAATTATTTGAGCCTATATATTATATAACAGTTGTTTATGATGTAACAGTACAACACAGCATTATGCCTACATCAAGAAGATAAATGTATTTAAAAAAAAATCAATATTATCAATGATTCTATATTTGTAAGGAGGAAAATAATTTTCAATATTGATTTTATATGAATAGAAAGGCTAGAATCAGTAGGAGACTGATTGAGCACAATATATACAATGCACTTCTCTTAAAGACACAAATTTCTGTACAGCATAAGGAATGCATTATTTTCTCTCTCTTTATCAAGATGTAAACTTCAAGGCAGATTCAGAAACACAAAAATGTACATTTCATAACACTTTATTGATGTATAGATATATTTATACATTTATATTATGAAAGTCATTTTCCTTTATCATGCAAACTTCCTTAGCATGAAACTATTTTATTATTGCAATATTTTCCAAAATTGAGATTTTTTTCATTTCTCTTTGAGGTCATCTCAAGTAATCATCCTAATAGATTTTTAATTATATCAAACATCACCTTTACCATAACTTCACAAATTACAGGAGATACATTACTTTATATATATAAAATTTGTGGTGTAGATATAAATGTACATGCATAATGATACTGCAGGAATATAATTGCGAAAATAAGCACAGGCAATTTTGAGTATTAAAATATGGAAATACACTACAGTATTTAAGTATTATGGACATTGTGACATAATACTTGTGTCAAGAAAATATATGTGGTTATCTACAATGCAAGTGTTCCACGTTTCTCTTAGGCAGAGGATAATTCATACATGCGTCCACGTACTGTGAAAAGTCGAGTAAAACTGATTGAAAAGTAGTGGATATCAATGCCAAATAGTAAAAATGATTATCAAATTAAAAGGAAAATATATTATCTACAAGTTTGAGTATTAAAATATATATTAATCCTAAATATGCAAGGACATATAAATATATATATACACACATACTCTCTTTTAGTGTATATCTTTGTGCATGTGTCTATGTATCCAATACAGATAATGTTGAAATGTCCTCACATTTTATACACTATTAACAAAAGACTATGTCAGCTTTAAATATAACCAATATCTATTCTTCAAATCAAAATGCAATATTCTTTTTGGCAATTCATCACAATACTTCTCTTTCCTTTTAATTATTATACATTTTGAATATATATAAGCCATAAGTAATAAAATATAAGGAAAGTACATTCCTTAAATCAAGATATTTCAATCAAGAGCATTATGACAATGCAAAAAATACTTCAACAATTATTACATAAAACTCATAATGTCAACAAGCAACAGTTCAGATTTCCAAAGCACCATTTCCAAACAAATTATGTTCTAGACAGCATCTGAAATGCTAGCGGTACGAGCAGCAATAAAATGGAAGGCTGAAGTCCCGAAGCTGCGTTGCACAAATCTCCATAGCAAAAACAGATAAATATCTGGGGAAAAAAAGGGTACGTTAATTAAATATACTGTATTATAACCTTTACTTACATAACGTTTGAATCATGCAGTTATGTCACAATACTTACTATACTATGATTATTACCTTTCTATGACCAACTAACGCTTCTGAACATCTTTCTTTATCATCTGGTGGAGACCGCTGAAGACATTGTCGTTCAATTGCAAGATCATGGTCTGCATGGAGAAAAAATATGGCATACTATAATATGTACTGACATGTCATGTACAAAGAAAAGAAGAAAAAAATCACTCAGTTTCATTTCTAAGAATGATGTGTATATATACACATATCTAGTCTTGAGAAAGGTTTTTATTTATACATAAATGGGAGTCGATACACCTACCTTTTCCATCTTTCTTTCCTTCAATCCTCTTAGAGCACCAGCCCGAGGCACATGGCTCGTCCTTTACTCCAGGTACCAGATGTGTCGAGTTAAATCTAAAAGGATCTTTGCAGTCTCCAAGTGCACCTCGAGACCTGCACGCAAAGCAG